CATTGAAAATCTAATGAAAAGCAGGGCCAGACAAAGCCTAAAAGAAACTGCTTTTGAACTTGCTTGTATATATAATTTTCTAAAATTACTCTGTCTACCTGGAAAAGCTTTCTCGGGAAGCTCTTCCGCAAAAAGTAGAAGCGCTTCAAAATGGGCTCTAAGTCTTCTGGTTTTCCGTAAATGAGATAGTCAAATTGTTTTATAAATATCTAATCACCTTCTCCACACTTGGTTTCGACTTCAGTTACTATCTGCCCACAGAAGATGGCAAGTATTCCGAGGAGAGAGTACTGATGCAAAGAATCTGCTTTTTACCGTGAAAAAGTCGTCTCTACTTCAATTTCGAACCAAATTAGATGTATTCATGGCTTCTAACACTAAGGAGAATGTATGCGACTTCAAAATCGAAGGCAGCTGGTTGGAGAGGTCCTGCGTTATATACTCTGGGAATTCTAATAATATCATTGCTCAGGTGAGATCATTAAATCATGCATCTCTTTTGTTTTCGTGAACATGATAAAATTTTAGCTTTGTTCTAATTAATGGAAATGCAGATGCACAGGAAACACAGTGCCCAGAGCATTCTGCTCGGTAAAGATACATTCGGGGTAACTGTATATCCGAATGTCGATTATGCCTTCATTGTTGCACTCGTGGTCATTCTTGAGGAAGTTAATGAGGACAGATCGGGCGAAGATTAAAATCACCACCAGATGTTAGACTGTTTTTCTATAATAATGGTATTTCTACATTGCCTGTACTTGCCTATAAATCGTTTTTTTGTTGAATCTGTGTAAGAATTGGCTATCTTCTTCATGTTATTGAAAGCGTTTTGAAGAACATTATGATGTTACTGTTGTTATTTGTTTCTGTTGAAATTTTGTTTTGGATTTTAGTTCTTGTCCAAAACTAGGCTAAAATTTGAGTATTACTATGTAAAATGAAGCATTGCATATATAAGAAAACCTGGAAAGGTATTTTTTCATTTTTTATAAACAGAAATAACAAATATTTACAGCTTTCTCACCTATAAAACAGATTATCTGCAAAAGCCTCCATTGAATGCGTCGATTCTTTGACATGCTCAACCCGAAAGAGGAGACTCGATAAATATATCACACAACTTCAAAAGCTAGCCAATTGTATTTTCAACTTCCTTGATTTGCTTCCATCCAAGATCATATAGTTTTAACTTCTTTTTATTCTTCGATTTTGACCCACGCATCCAATCGACAAACATACAAATGAATATGAAGAATGCATGTTCATCTCGATGGAGAGAACTCATTCGGCATAGATTGAAACAAAAGCATCAGCGGC